TCGAAGCTAACTGTCCTTAAAAAACCCTGGATTTAACCCCCTTTTTTTTTTTGGACACCAACGTAGCATGTTTAAAGGGATACAATGAAGTTGTATTACATATCTAAAATTCAATAGGTTTTATAACTAGAAAGAGCAGACAGCTCTCTCTTGCTCATCACTGACGTTATCTTTTTATTAAAAGCTTTATTTTTAACATTCACTTATATTTGTAAAAAAAACAAAACAAAAAAACAAAAAAATTAAAAAAATTAAAAATTAAAAATAAACCTTGGAAATGATGAAAAATAAAGTAGTTAGTTACCGGGTAATTTAAATTAATTCAAATGCTGGACAGAATTTAAAAAAAAAATGAAAGCATGATAAAGTTTCAATGTTCCTCGAGTGTAAAATAATTGTTAACTGAACCATATAAATTGGATCCATCTTCATATAAAGGTATTTCTGTACCATATAATGAACACAGGCCATAGTCCCATATCGTATATGGAACAATTATTTGCAAGGGTGACAGTTTTGTAAGCACGCCCTAGATTTGTTTTTTTTTCCTGCAGGTCTTCATTTCCAATTGTTAAATAATAATTGAATAATGATTTATGATGTAATCCCGGTTTTCCTTCTACTGGATATTTCCGTTATTTTAAAAAGTATTGGGACGAAAGTTCATAATAACTCTAACAAACACAGTCTGTAATTTCATCAAGGTGTGTTTAAGTAAAGGTAATAAAAATTTTATTGGCAAGTACATATTAAACATTTAAAAAGCTAAGATTTTTAGTAAGTTTAATAAGTAACGTTCAATTCAATTGAAATAACTTTCATTGGAAAGTGAATATTTTTATTATTAACACAAAAAATGACAAAATATAAATTTAAAAAAACAACAACTTTATAAATGAAACAAAAAAATAAATGTATCAGCGTTGATAAAACTAGACTATTGCTATTTAAATTGACATGCACGCGTCCGTTTGTACTGTGACTGTGATAAATTGTCAGACAACAATTTGTAAATTTCAAGCTTGCTGTAACTTATCTATAAATAAAGTTTACGATAATACCTCGAATATCGCAGTGGTTACGCTCCGAGTTCCACGCCCCCTCCTTTCAAAGGTAATAAACCCCTCAGGCAGTCTTACGAAAAGTTACCAAATGTCATATTTATATTATTTTCCATTTTTAAAGTTTAGAAAATGCTTATTCAACTCAAAAAATAAATAAAAATAATAAAATTATTAATATATTAAAAAAAGTATACTGTATAGCGAAAAATTTCCGAAAAAACAGCCAAAAATCTGCAGAGCTGGCCCAACGTTTCCTTTTAGGCCTAGGGGAAAACCTGCATACGAATGCGAAGTGTGAAGTTACCAAGTATTACTATGTACATTTTTACATACGATAGGAGATTTCCGATATTACCAGCAGCCGGCCGTTACATCTTCTAGTTCTTACTACATCTTGTTTGGGATAAACATCAGTAAAACGTAAGTTTATTTATTTTCATAGTATTAAAATATGTACAGAAAACATAATGTTCGTGACCTTCAAATAAACTTTTGAGATATGCGGTGAGACACAAAGTGTATTTATCGATGAGTTTGGTTGGAGTAGGTCGGACCTCCCTTTTCTGTGGTAAACTCCAGGGATCCAATTCTTTCAACAACAAAAAAAAAAATAAATGTCTATTTCTGTTTCAAAATAAACGAAGCCTTCACCAGCAAACACAACCGTAAAAAGCAAAAAAGAATAAGTAAATTAGAAACTACGTTGCTATGAAGTAGAAAATGTCAATATTAATATAAAATAAAGACAAAATTGGGAGGAATTGAAGATGACGATTTAAAATATGAAAGTATTTGATTGAAACAGTTGCGGTGATAGGGTAAATTTGTTTTTTTTTTTTCATTCTTCAATCTCGCTGGTGTATTTGTGCAAGAAATCCGTCTTATGATGGATATGCCTTCATCATGCGCTCTTTTATGTTGATCTGTTTAAAATGGGATGAGACACGAGATTTCTTTTGTTATTTAATATTAGGAAGATGTTTCTCGAATCTTTCAAGCAATCTTCTTCCCGTCTCACATATGTAACAAGAGCAAACAATTTCTCGAGAATAAACACCCCCACCGATTGGGTGAACGTGTTGTTACCCTCAATTGAGTTTAGTGGCCAATTCTTTGACCAAATCAGTTGTTACGCACTGGCTTCTATTGTGAGAAATTAATCTCTTGTTTTAAATCATGACTCGTTCACACAGTGCCTAACAAAAGGCGATACCATAGATAAATACAATAACAAAATTACGACACCCAAAACAGTTGCCATTTACAATTAATAAGATTTAATTTAGTAATATTACAATTACAAAACAAAAGAAATATAATTAAAAATCATCAACTTACAGAGTATTGGAAAATCTTGTACCGGTACACAATTAGTACAATGTGCCAATTAATAATGATGAATGATAAATGCGAATAAACACATATGAGCACACAAAGAATAATACTATTGTCTCGTAAAGTTAATAATATCTATCTGAATCTCCATCCTTCTCTCCGTGCCTGTCAATCCCTTATATATGTCGGCCTACCGTCGCGTCTAGAAACGCATTTACTTTTCTAATACAATCGCGAACATTCGACAAAACACCACTGAGAACAAATTAATTATTTTTAGTTGCTGTCGGCAATAAACACGACAGATCAAAAGACTAAGCCACGCCCATCTATGAACGTAGTGTCTCATGTGGGGTCAACCAGAATGCACGCACGGGGAAAGTGTTGTAAACAAGCTCTACATAACACAGTGGTGTTGCTATGGGAATAAAAATGGACCCAGCTCGCAAATTTGTTCATGGGACTTTTCGAACAGGCAGAAATAAACTACATTGGACGACTCCCGGAATTCTACAAAAAGGTACATTGCTGATTGAACTGGGTCACAATTATGGAGAGATGTGACTTGGACATTTGACATATTCATCAACTTTGTAGGCATTTTCAACCCTACATTAAAGTCACATCGCTTGTCTGTAAAAACTCAGTTTACTTCTTAGACATAACGGCCACCCTACACAAAGATAGCACTCCCACCTCCGCCTACTTTAAACCTGCAGACAGCCTCAGATATTTACTCGACTCTTCTTCCCACCTTAAACCTTAAGACTCTATTCTATTTTCTCAATTACTTCGGCTTCGTCGACTGTGACAATCGGAGGATGAATTTTGGGACAAGGCAATTAAGATGTTCGATGTTGAGATGTTATCCATTGAAAAAATTTAAACACAAGTGGACATAACGTTTTTTACGTACTTGAAGAAGGTTAGAGTGTAGGGTTGGGAGTAATATTTGAAAAAAATTATTTGCTTTTCCCGGGTCCACGGTGTAAAAGTGAACCACTTCTTTAATATAGAAATAAATCGATATTAAATATCGAAGAATGGGTTTTGAAGATAGCTTAATTTGTATAGTCGTTCAATGAATGAAAAAAAGATTTGAAAATTAGTTGAGAGATTGGCCACTTGCTACTAGTTGCTTCATTCGCTCCTGATTGTTCCAAATATAGATGTATACACAAAGAAAGAACACCATTTAGACCTTATTTGAGTTTTGCTTTGATCAACACAGATCGCAATGTAGATTTTCGATTCCGTCACAAAATATCCACAAA